AACATTTTAAAACTTTTTGAACACTTCAGAATGTAATAAAATTTGACAAAAAGAATATTTTCAAGTAAAAAATGTGAGTGTTTTGTATATTTTTGAAGAAATCATATATGTTCGATGCCATTGTTGAAAAGTACATCGTCTTAACCTTTGTAAGTCATCATTGACTTAACAAATAGCCAATGGAAATGTTGTAATATCGTCTCATGATGCTGGATAAGATAATCAAATTAACGCAGTTTTTGTATCACACTCCATGCAGTGTAATACGAGAAATATCTCTTCATGCAAGAAATAGATAACAGGCCACAATCATAAGAGAATTATTAATTATATATATATAACTAACCATAAAGGAGAGAACAGTCACGTTGTTAAGTGGTCTGCCTTTTATGTACTCATTAATTTGTATTAGGTAGTCCATTGCTCAGCGGTGCACTTGCTTATGTTATATCATTTAGTATTACTACCTAGAAACCTGGTTTTTTTTATTGATTGTCATATAATAGAATATTTATTATTATTATTATATTAATTTTTCATGTAATAAATAGTGAATTTGTTTTATTTTAAAGAACAAAGTGGACTTTTTTTAGCCTCCTGCTTCCCGGGCAGTTGGTTTAATTGTAAATAGGGATCCTTAGTCTGCATCCTGGCCAACTGAGGAAATTTTTAACATAAACAAGTAAAAATAAAATGCTCTGCAGGGCACAGCTTGATATGACAGCAGAGGTCGAACCCTGAACAGTTGGGGCAAGTATGGACACAACATTCAAGCTTGATACAGCTCTGAATTTGGATTGTGATTAAATATTTGACACAGCATAGGTTTCTGACATAGAATGAATGTGGTCTAAGAACTTAAAAATTTTAAATTGGACATTCACCTATTATGGTCCAATATCCAAAATCTAAATACATGGTTAGATTCAGCATATCAAAGAACCCCAAGAATTCAATTTCTGATGAAATCAAACAAAGTTTAATTTTGGACCCTTTTGACCTCAATGTGGACAAAGTTGATAACGGGGCCCAAAAATCAAAAATCTAAATACATGGTTAGATTCAGCATATCAAAGAACCCCATATATTCAATTTTTGTTGAAATCAAACAAAGTTTAATTTTGGACCCTGATTTGGACCAACTTAAAAACTGGGCCCATAATCAATAAACAGCTGCGCCATGAGCGCATGATACACCTGTCGTCTTGTGTGTGAATTTTTATGCAATAGGCATAAATAGTTTCTGACAAACGGCGTGACATGCGAAAACCCCCCTTTTTTTTTAACAAAAAACTCAATATCTCTAAAATAAAATTTTGAATCAAAACCAAAAAGTATACAGATCTTAAGATTAATATAACTAAAAAGTGTGTAAAATTTTAAGCAATTATCATAAATCGTTTTTGAAATACAGCGCGACATGTGAAAACCCCCCTTTTTAAAAAAAAAAAAAAGTCAATATCTCAAAATTAAAATTTTGAATCAAAACCAAAAAGTATACAGATCTTTAAATTAATATAACTAAGAAGTGTGTAAAATTTTAAGCAATAATCATAAATCATTTTTTGAGATACGGCGCGACATGTGAAAAACCCCTCCCCCTTTTTTTACAAAATACTCAATAACTCAATTTAAATAAAATTTTGAATCATCATCAAAAAGTATACAGATCTTGAGGTTAATATAACTAAGAAGTGTGTAAAGTTTTAAGCAATAATCATAAACTGTTTTTGAGATACGGCGCGACATGTGAAAAACCCCTCCCCCTTTTTTAACAAAATACTCAATATCTCTAAAATAAAATTTTGAATCATCACTAAAAAGTATACAGATCTTAATATTAATATAACTAAGAAGTGTGTAAAGTTTTAAGCAATAATCATAAATTGTTTTTGAGATACGGCGGGACATGTGAAAATAAAATGCTCCGCAGGGCGCAGCTTGATACGACCGCAGAGGTCGAACCCTGAACAGTTGGGGCAAGTATGGACATAACATTCAAGCTTGATACAGCTTTGCATTTGGATTGTGATTAAATATTTGACACAGCATAGGTTTCTGACACAGAATGAATGTGGTCTAAGAACTTAAAAAGTTTAAATTGGACATTCACCTATTATGGTCCAATATCCAAAATCTAAATACATGGTTAGATTCAGCATATCAAAGAACCCCAATAATTCAATTTTTGATGAAATCAAACAAAGTTTAATTTTGGACCCTTTTGACCTCAATGTGGACCAATTTAAAAACGGGGCCCAAAATCCAAAAACTAAATACACGGTTAGATTCAGCATATTAAAGAACCCAAAGAATTTAAGAATAAAACCCCATTGAAATTGGTCAAGAAATAAGCAATTTATACGAAGTATCTTCTTTTGCACAATACTGTGCAATTAAATATTTCTTGCTATTGAGCAATACCGTACAATTGACAATTTCTTGCTATTGCGCAATATTGTGCTATTGGATATTTCTTGCTATTGGGCAATACTGTGCAATTGAAGATTTCTTGCTATTGCGCAATAATTTATACTGTGCAATAGAAGATTTCTTGCTATTGTGCAATACTGTGCAATTGAAAATCTTGCTATTGCACAATACTTATTATATAATAATTTACACATCCTGTTTGGTGTGTATCTCCTACCATATCATTATTATTTGCTTTTGAATATAAATCAGAAATAACCAACTTAAAATGGAAAATTTTAAAAGAAAAAAAAATAGGAAAAAAAGAAAAAAAAGGAAAAAAAAATCCCCCCCCAAAATTTTTTGAACCCCCTTATGATTCATCACCCCCAAACTCAATCCCAGCCTTCCCTTTGTGGTATGGTACCTTGCAGTACAATTTCAGAGAGATCCATACACTTGAACACATTATTGTCTGGAAAATAGAAAAATGTGTTTTTTGGCCCCTTATTCCTAAACGTTTAGGGCAATTACCCCCAAACTCAAACCCAGCTTTCCCTTTGTGATATGGAACCTTGTAGCACAATTTCAGAAAGATCCATACACTTACACACAAGTTTATATTGTCCTGAAACTAGAAAAATGCTTGTTTTTTGCCCCTTTTTGGCCCCTAATTCCTAAAATATTGAGGCAATTACCCCCATCATCAATCCCAGCCTTCCCTTTGTGGTATGGTACCTTGCAGTACAATTTCAGAGAGATCTATACACTTGAACACAAGTTATTGTCTGGAAACTAGAAAAATGCTTATTTTTGGCCCCTTTTTGGCTCCCAATTCCTAAACGTTTCGGCAATTACCCCCAAACTCAATTCCAGCTTTCCCTTTGTGATATGGAACCTTGTAGTACAATTTCAGAAAGATGTATACACTTACACACAAGTTATTGTCATGAAACTAGAAAAATGCTTGTTTTTTGCCCCCCTTTTTTGGCCCCTAATTCCTAAAATTTTGAGGCAATTACCCCCAAAATCAATCCCAGCATTCCTTTTGTGATATGGAACCTTGTGGTACAATGTCAGAGAGATCCATACACTAACACACAAGTAATGTCTGGAAGTTACAAAAATGCTTATTTTTGGCCCCTTTTTGCTTTACTGTTGGTACCATAACCCCCAAAATCAATCCCAACCTTCCTTTTGTGGTATTGAACCTTGTGGTAAAATTTCATAGAGATCCATTCACTTAAACTAAAGTTAGAGTGCGAAAACCAATGTGTCTTTGGACGACGCCGGACGACGACAACGACGACGACTACGCCAACGTCATACCAATATACGACCACAAAAGTTTTTTTGTGGTCGTATAAAAAACACACACCTGTTTTAGTTACTAAGTCCCGTAAATCAAAAAGTTTTAATCTTATTTTCACCAAAAAGTATACAGATCGTTTGACCATCATAAGAAAAAACTATGTTAAGTTTCATGAAATTTCGATAAGTCATTCTCAAGTTACGGTGCGACATGTTTACACCAGACAGACAGACGGACAAAGGACGGATGGACACCGGACATTGTATACCATAATACATCCCGTCAAAAATTCACGGGCGAAAAAAATCTAAATACATGTTTAGATTCAACATATCAAAGAACCCTAAGAATTCAATTTTTGTTAAAATCAAACTAAGTTTAATTTTGGACCCTTTGGACCTTAATGTAGACCAATTTGAAATTGGAACCAAAAATTAAGAATCTAAATACACGGTTAGATTCGGCATATCAAAGAACCCCAATAATTCAATTTTTGATGAAATCAAACAAAGTTTAATTTTGGACCCTTTGGACCTCAATGTGGACCAATTTAAAAACGGGGACCAAATTCCAAAAACTTAATACGTGGTTAGATTCAGCATATTAAAGAACCCAAAGAATTCAAGAATAAAACCCCATTGAAATTGGTCAAGAAATAAGCAATTTATACGAAGTATCTTCTTTTGCACAAGAATATTTCTTGCTATTGCGCAATACTGTACAATTGACAATTTCTTGCTATTGCGCAATATTGTGCTATTGGATATTTCTTGCTATTGCGCAATACTGTGCAATTGAAGATTTCTTGCTATTGCGCAATACTGTGCAATTGAAGATTTCTTGCTATTGTGCAATACTGTGCAATTGAAAATTTCTTGCTATTGCACAATACTTATTATATAATAATTTACACATCCTGTATGGTGTGTATCTCCTACCATATCATTATTATTTGCTTTTAAATATAAATCAGAAATAACCAACTTAAAATGGAAAATTTTTTAAAGAAAAAAAAAAGGAAAAAAAAAAAAAATCCCCCCCCCCAAAATTTTTTGAACCCCCTTATGATTCGTCACCCCCAAACTCAATCCCAGCCTTCCCTTTGTGGTATGGTACCTTGCAGTACAATTTCAGAGAGATCCATACACTTGAACACAAGTTATTGTATGGAAACTAGAAAAATGTGGTTTTTTTCCACTTTTTGGCCCCAAATTCCTAAACGTTTAAGGCAATTACCCCCAAACTCAAACCCAGCTTTCCCTTTGTGATATGGAACCTTGTAGTACAATTTCAGAAAGATCCATACATTTACACACAAGTTATTGTCCTGAAACTAGAAAAATGCTTGTTTTTTACCCCTTTTTGGCCCTTAATTCCTAAAATATTGAGGCAATTACCCCCATCATCAATCCCAGCCTTCCCGTTGTGGTATAGAACCTTGCAGTACAATTTCAGAGAGATCCATAAACTTGAACACAAGTTATTGTCTGGAAACTAGAAAATGCTTATTTTTGGCCCCTTTTTGGCCCCCAATTCCTAAACGTTTCGGGCAATTACCCCCAAACTCAATTCCAGCTTTCCCTTTGTGATATGGAACCTTGTAGTACAATTTCAGAAATATCCATACACTTACACACAAGTTTATATTGTCATGAAACTAGAAAAATGCTTGTATTTTGCCCCTTTTTTGGCCCCTTAATCCTAAAATTTTGAGGCAATTACCCCCTAAATCAATTCCAGCCTTCCCTTTATGATATGGAACCTTGTGGTACAATGTCAGAGAGATCCATACACTTACACACAAGTTATTGTCTGGAAGTTACAAAAATGCTTATTTTTGGCCCCTTTTTGGCCCCTTATTCCTTAACTGTTGGTACCATAACCCCCGAAATCAATCCCAACCTTCCTTTTGTGGTATTGAACCTCATGGTAAAAATTTCATAGAGATCCATTCACTTAAACTAAAGGTATAGTTCGAAAACTAATGTGTCCTCGGACGACAACGACCATGACGCCAACGTCATACCAATATACGACCGCAAAATTTTTGCGGTCGTATAAAAAGAAGAAAACAAGCATTCTGTGAGTATTGCATGGCAATACATAGTCCCCTACCGGTTAAAAATTCATTGTATTGGAACAAAATTCTAACTTGATCTATAACTTGTCATGGTGTAAACTATATAATAAATATCAAGTCAATATCTTCAAGCATGACGAAAAAAAGTGTTGAAAACTGATTATCTAAGTGAATTTTCTAAGTCCAAGGACCATAACTCTGCACAAAATCATCAGACTGGAACAAATTTCGATCTTGATCTGTAATTTGTCATGATAAAACAATACACCAAATATCAAATCAATATCTTCAAGCATGAAGAAAAAAAAGTGTGGAAAACTGATTTGACCGACTGACGGATGGACAGACCGACAGACAGACAGCCAGACGGACGGGGTGCAAACCTAAAGTCCCCTTCGACTTCGTCGGTAGGGGACTAAAATTCAAATAGTTTACGCTGCCGGTGCTGGATTATAATCCCTATCTTGCATTCTGTGCAAGCTACTGCTCACTGATGATACCCCCGCCCAAATACTTGACGGTAAACAGGAAGTTGTTGAGTGATGAATCTGAAAACACATCATACGGTATGGCTGACTTATATAAACCCTGAAACCAAATTTCAGAAATCCTTGTAGTGTAGTTCCTGAGAAAGATTCGACGAAAATATTCATGGGACGGCTGGATGGACCGACGGACGGATGGATGGACGGACGGACAGACAGAGGTAAAACAGTATAGCCCACTTTTTTAAAGCAGGGGTCTAATAAAGATGAGAAACACAATAAGGTCTCACCTTTGGGAACAAGAAAAACTTTGATTATAGCATTTTATAGATACATGCCATTGCTTACCATATCTGTAAATATTTCTATGGCCTTAAGTAAACAATTCACAGCCTCTGTAAAAAAGAAAAATAAATTATGTTGAAATCAACAAACTGTACAGCATTTTTACATTTTGCCTTCAACTGCAAAATATATAGCAAACTTAATCGTTAAAATGCACAAATATAAGCAAACTTACTTCTATATTAAGCAAAGGTCATAACTATTCATCTTTCATCCAAATATATGGAATTTGTGAAAAAAACTGTTACAAAATTATATAAAATGCTCCGCTGGGCGCAGCTTGATAGGACCGCAGAGGTCGAACCCTGAACAGTTGGGGCAAGTATGGAACATTCAAGCTTGATACAGCTCTGAATTTGGATTGTAATTAAATATTTGACACAGCATAGGTTTCTGACACAGAATGAATGTGGTCTAAGAACTCAAAAAAATTTTAATTTACCTATTATGGTCCAATATCCAAAATCTAAATACATGGTTAGATTCAGCATATCAAAGAATCCAAAGAATTCAATTTTTGATGAAATCAAAAAAAGTTTAATTTTGGACCCTTTTGACCTCAATGTGGACCAATTTGATAACGGGGGCCCAAAAATCAAAATACATGGTTAGATTCAGCATATCAAATAACCCCATATATTCAATTTTTGTTAAAATGAAACAAAGTTAAATTTTGGACCCCAATTTGGATCAACTTGAAAACTGGGCCCATAATCAAAAATCTAATCACATGTTTAGATTCAGCATATCAAAGAACCCCAAGAATTCAATTTTTGCTAAAATCAAACTAAGTTTAATTTTGGACCCTTTGGACCTTAATGTAGACAAATTTAAAAAACAGGGCCCAAAAATAAAAATCTGAACACATGGTTAGATTTAGCATATCAAAGAACCCCAATATAAGCGGGGCCCACAAATAAAAAATCTAAATACATGGATAGATTCAGCATATCAAAGAACCCCATATATTCAATTTTTGTTGAAATCAAACAAAGTGTAATTTTGGACCTCGATTTGGACCAACTTGAAAACTAGGCCCATAATCAAAAATCTAAATACATATAATAGATTCAGCATATCAAAGAACCCCAAGTATTCAATTTTTGTTAAAATCAAAATAAATTTAATTTGGGACCCTTTGGACCTTAATGTAGACCAATTTGAAAACGGGACCAAGAATCTAAATACACGGTTAGATTCAGCATATCAAAGAACCCCAATATTTCAATTTTTGATGAAATCAAACCATATCATTATTATTTGCTTATATATAAATCAGAAATAACCAACTTAAAATGGAAAATTTTAAAGAAAAAAAAAAAAGGAAATTAAAATGTCAATTGTTCTTGAACAATTGAGAGGTCTTTCCTTTTCATTACGTAAAATGTATGTTTAAATAAACGTATAATGCATTGAAAAGCTCTAAAACACACACAAAACCCTTAAAATATGGTCAAAAACACATAATTCCAAATTTTGGACATGACCTTGACTTTTGACCTGATGACCTTTGTCAAGGTCATTGGTCCACGATGTCACAAAAAAAGACCCCATTGGTCTAGGACCTTTAGTTCATGAGTTTAAGCTTATTTTGTCTTTTCTAAAACAGTTAACAGGGGTTATGCCCCTTACAGATAGGTCAAATCTGTCAAGGTCATTGGTCCCAAATGTAAATGTTGACGACCCCATGGGTCTAGGACCTTTGGTTATATAGTAAAAGCTGATTTTGTCTTTTCAGAAACCTAAAACAGGGGTTATGCCCCTTACAGAAAGGTCAAATCTCTTCGGTCGAAATGTAACAAAGTTGCGCCTTAATGACCCAAACATTTTCCACTATTCAAAACTTCTGTAAGTATGATGGTTTCTGAGATTATCCCATAACAAGGTGTAAGGTCAAAGGTCAAGGTCAACATACAAATTTGACCTTGAGGCATTTTCAAAGTCACATGAATTGATGATCATTGGTGAAAGATCCTAGGTTGCTACGACTTACCGTTTCTGAGTTTTGGTGGCCAACCGACACCAGTTAATTTTCAAAGGGGCATAACCCTACCAATGAGTCGCTGAATCTTTTCGATCCAAATGTAGCGAAGAACTGGGGTCTGGTCCTGAACAAATTTCACCCTTTGCTTTTTTTCTACCTATTACAGTTACGGTGTTTGAATGATAACAAGGTTTTTAGGTTTCGGAGGGATAACTCCGGACCGACAAAATTTTTCGACTCACAGGGTGAGTTCCGGTTAGGTATTTGTGACACCGATACAAAGTGTGAACCTGAAAGCGACATGGCTTACGGTTACGGAGGGAAATTTTGTCAAAGTTTGGCGGAACAAAAAGAATAATAATAATAATAATCAGAAGAAGAAATACAGTAAGGTCTTTCCCTTTTGGAAAAGGAAAGACCTTAATAATAATAATAATAATCAGAAGAAATACAGTAAGGTCTTTCCCTTTTGGAAAAGGAAAGACCTTAATTAAAATGTCAATTGTTCTTGAACAATTGAGAGGTCTTTCCTTTTCATAATGTAAAATATATGTTTCAATAGGTGTAGAATGCATTGAAAAGCTCTTTAACACACTTAAAACCCTTAAAATATGACAAAAAACACAAAATTCGCTATTTGGGACATGACCTTTACTTTGACCTTATGATCTTTGTCAAGGTCATTGGTCCAGGATGTCATTACAAAAGACCCCATGGGTCTAGGACCTTTGGTTCAAGAGTAAAAGCTAATTTAGTCTTTTCAGAAACAGTCAATTGGGGTTATGCCCCTTACGGATAGGTCAAATCTCTTTGGTCATAATGTAAAAAAGTTTTGCCTCTATGACCCAAACATTTTTCACTATTGACGATTTCTGTAAGTATAATCGTTTTTGAGTTATCCAACTAGAGGCTCTCAAGAGCCTGTGTCGCTCACCTGACTCTACTTTGGTTTTAGAAATCATGTAAAGATAGATAAAAATCATAACAGATACCCAAATAATGATTGAGGCCAAATTTTGATTAATATTGGTCCCGTTATTTAATAAAATATCCTGGTGGCCATCTTGAACAGTAAATCGGCAACAAAGTAGCAACACTTGGTCAGCACTTCATAAGGAACATTCATGCCATGTTTGGTTTCATTCCATTCAGTGGTACTCTAAAAGAAGACATTTGTATGTATTTCCCAAAGGGTCCTATGTTAAACTAAGCCCCCCCCCCCCCTAGCGGCCATCTTGGATGATGGATCGACTGCAAAGTAACAACACTTGGTCAGCAACTCATAAGGAACATTCATGCCATGTTTGGTTCAATTCCATTCAGTGGTTCTCTAAAAGAAGACAATTGTATGTATTTCCCATAGGGTCCTATGTTAAACTAAGTCCCCCGCTGTCGGCCATCTTGGATGATGGATCGGCTGCAAAGTAACAACACTTGGTCAACATCTCATAAGGAACATTCATGCCATGTTTGGTTCCATTCCATTTATTGGTTCTCTAAAAGAAGACATTTTTATGTATTTCCCAAAGGGTCCTATGTAAAACTAAGTCCCCCGCTGGCGGCCATCTTGGATGATGGATCGGCTACAAAGTAACAACACTTGGTCAGCATCTCATAAGGAAGATTCATGCCATGTTTGGTTTCATTCCATTCAGTGGTTCTCTAAAAGAAGACATTTGTATGTATTTCCCATAGGTCCTTTGTTAAACTAAGTCCCCTGCTGTCGGCCATCTTGGATGATGGACCGACTGCAAAGTAACAACACTTGGTCAGCACCTCATAAGGAACATTCATGCCATGTTTGGTTTCATTCCATTTAGTGGTTCTCTAAAAGAAGACATTTGTATGTATTTCCCATAGGGTCCTATGTTAAACTAAGTCCCCCGCTGGCGGCCATCTTGGATGATGGACAGACTGCAAAGTAACAACACTTGGTCAGCATCTCATAAGAAACATTCATGCCATGTTTGGTTCCATTCCATTCAGTGGTTCTCTAAAAGAAGACATTTTTATGTATTTCCCATAGGGTTCTATGTTAAACTAAGTCCCCCGCTGGCGGCCATCTTGGATGATGGATCGGCTACAAAGTAACAACACTTTGTCAGCACCTCATAAGGAACATTCATGCCATGTTTGGTTTCATTCCATTCAGTGGTTCTCTAAAAGAAGACATTTGTATGTATTTCCCATAGGGTCCTATGTTAAACTAAGTCCCCCGCTGTCGGCCATCTTGGATGATGGATCGGCTACAAAGTAACAACACATGGTCAGCACCTCATAAGGAACATTAATGCCATGTTTGGTTTTATTCCATTCAGTGGTTCTCTAAAAGAAGTCATTTGTATGCATTTCCCATAGGGTCCTATGTTAAACTAAGTCCCCTGCTGGCGGCCATCTTGGATGATGGATCGGCTACAAAGTAACAACATTTGGTGAGCAACTCATAAGGAACATTCAAGCCATGTTTGGTTTCATTCCATTCAGTGGTTCTCTAAAAGAAGTCATTTGTATGCATTTCCCATAGGGTCCTATGTTAAACTAAGTCCCCCGCTGGCGGCCATCTTGGATGATGGATCGGCTACAAAGTAACAACACTTGGTCAGCACCTCATAAGGAACATTCATGCCATGTTTGGTTTCATTCCATTCAGTGGTTCTCTAGAAGAAGTTCAAAATGTAAAAAGTTAACGCCGACGACGGACGACGCCGGACGACGGACGACGGACGCCAAGTGATGAGAAAAGCTCACTTGGCCCTTCGGGCCAGGTGAGCTAATAAAAAGTGGTTAGGTCAAAGGTCAAGGTCAACCTTAAAAAGCTTTAAAACACACTGAAAATACTTTAAATAAGGTCAAAAACACATAATTCGTTATCTGGGACATGACCTTGACCTTTGACCTTGTGACCTTTGTCAAGGTCATTGGTCCCAAATGTCATTGCTGAAGACCCCATGGGTCTAGGACCTTTGGTTATATAGTAAAAGCTGATTTTGTCTTTTCAGAAAGCTAATACAGGGGTTATGCCCCTTACAGAAAGGGCTAATCTCTTCGGTCAAAAAGTAACAAAGT